ACAAAAACAAAGCATAGCAGTAGTGTCTGGAGACACCAACACAAGGCACATCACCATTTTTCAGACTTGGCTTTCTCCAGAAACACACAGCCCAAGACAAAATTCTATAAATTCCTACAGGGATGCCCACATTAGATTCACTACTTGGAAAACTATGCCCCAGGGAGACCATTTGGACAAGGCAGTACTACAGCTGCTATTAAGTACTTAGAACTCTATAAGAGTTGGCAGAGTTCAGCTGCAAAACTTACTGCCCAGAGCAGCTCTGTGTGAGTGGAGCTGCTCAGTCTCAGCTGTGCAAAAAATATGTTGCTTACAATGCTTTCTTGATACTTTTTTCTAGCTTAATCAATGGTCAGTGTGTCATGAGACCTGTGCTGCTTCAAATGCCAGTTTAGAAAGCAGAGTAAGGATTTGAGAGAAGCAGTCATGTGTCTGTTGTGGTTGCCAAGTGTCTGGTTTGCTGTGTCTCTACCTGACTGCAGGAGCAGACTCTCATGGTGTGCTACAGAGTTCCACAGGCCACCCTGGTTCAGGGAAACCACCCGGAGCACTTGTTAGAGAGGTCCTTTGGTGTCTTCTTGGGAGAAGCCCAGGAATGCCCTGGGCATGCCCAGGATTTGCCCAACATGGCTGCCCTTTCCCCCACTTACAGGTTATCGATGCTGTCCCTTCTCACTACGTCCTAAGAAAAGCTTTACATGAAGAACTAGGTATCTTATTAACTTCTCAATACTCCAAACCTGATCTAGGAGTTTCTCCAGCCTTTGTTCATGGACCTATTCAGCTACACTAGCTATTCAGTGAGCCTGTAAGACTGCAGCTTGTGCATGGACTGGTAGGGGTGAGGCCCATGCAAGCCTTCTCCATGACAGTCACTCAGACAACATGGCCATGAGACAATTTTTGGAAGATTTTGCCTCTGTGTGGATCATCTGATCTGTGAGCCACTCTCTGTGAAAGGGAAACTGCATCCTCAAAGGATGCAGCCTAAGCTACTGGACCACAACAGAGGTCTTTTCTTGATTTATCAGTCCCTATGTAGTTTCTGAATTTGGCAGCAAGAAGGAAGTTGAAAACAGTCCAAACCAGGGCTGCAGCCCAACCTTTTGTGTCTCTGACTGACAGGAGTGCTTAAACAAAAAGGTGAGAATGAGGCTCTCCACCTCTCACTTTCTCAATTAGAAGGGAAAGAGGAAACATTAAATTAGTTATAAAAGTACCAATCATTAAAGCAAATTTGTGACGCTGTTTGCTAGTTTTGCTTAAGCAGCACAAAACGGTTTTGCAACTATGCTACTGCCAGAAGATTCCTTCCAAATGGCAGATCTACACATGCAAATATTGGCTCAGACCTCAGTCTCAAAATGAAAGATTTCTGTGCATAAAAAATTTTTTACCAAACTGATGTGGGCTGGTCTATTTTGGTTAACAACACTCTGTAGCGTGGTTTATGTGCTGAACTGAAGGTGGAGTATATGGGTACGAGGATACAGAGAACAAGGACCTCAGGTGTATATTTAAAAGCTTAGTCTGCCAAAGAAGTCAGATCTCGTGCAGTTTACAGTCCTACACAGATGTAGAGACAGGTCCCAGCTGATCAGATCTCCATGCTGTAGAGGCTGAATACTCTCAATCCAAGTTCTTTCAGATATTACACATGAGGAGAGTTTAACGTTTAATCCCAAATTTTCTTATTGAGCATACTTGACATTACATTGGATTTTGAATTAGCAGAGGGATACAGCAGTGTACTGAAATTGCAGCACGAGCGTAACAAAGCATTTGCAATATACGGTTGAATCACAGTAGAATTTGATTCTCATTCTGGTCTCTATACGCTCGATGTCAATGCTTGGCATCAGTCCCTGTGAAGAAATGTATTGATTGAAACCATCTCAAGCCCATTGCTCCCTTCAAACTTTTCCATTTTGTCCAGTTTTTGTAATTTGTGTTGGACTGAGCCACATATACATAGCCCACCCTCCCTACCCCATATTTTAGTCTGGTTTGCTCAGAAAGACGTCAGTCTGAGGGAACCTGATGATTCACTGGTGCAGCTGTCTTGTCAAAAACCATGGTAACCCTTCAGTCTCCCTGGTGTTAAGATACATGCAGTTTTTCTTTACAGTACATTATTTTTCTTTACAGAACATTATTCCTCCAGCTCATTGTCATTTTGCCCTTCTCCTGTGGGTGTGTGCTGGTCTGTCAAAAGTGCCCACGTTTTTAGTACGAGGGAAGAATTTATTTCTTTCCTCCAGGTGGTCCAGATGAGATCTACTATGTGTTCAGCTTGGCAGATCACAGGAGCATGCAACAGTGCAAAGCAAGGATCTGAACAACCTGTCTCAGTCATAAAAGACAGATTGCAATTCTATTCTTCCTTTGAGAATGACAGAGAATATTTTGAAGAGGGAATGAAGCACCAGCTGCCAGTGAGTGGAAAAGAAGGAATATGAAAAACTCTCCAATACAAAATTCAAAACTACTGGTCCGAAAACTTGAATGTGTTTCCAGAATTTTATTCATATATATTCTTAAATTATAATGTGTGACTATTTTTTTGTGTAACATTGATCTAAACTCAAACCTTGAGACTCTAGTAACGTATAATGAATGATTTTTTAAAAGTCACTATTAAACTAATAACTGCATATTCTATTTACCCATCCTGAGTTTATGAATACAGACACAATACCCTATAGGTGACCTACCTTGAGGTAGAGTTTAGACACATATTAAAAAACATCACATTCATTACCTAGGGGATGCCAAACCAGAGTACAAGCAAGGGATCTGAAAACTTACGAATGGAAACCAAACGACCAGAGCAAAAAACCCATGGGAATACACAGATAGTGTTCTTAGTACACTAGAGACTTAGCCTTTGCCTCTATTTTGCAGAATTATGTCTTGATTCCATCTTGTGGATTTGATTAGACTAGATATGATAAATGAACAAAATTTTAACTACTATTGTTTGAGGACTGCCACTAGTAAGTATGGATTGGAAAGCAGAAGAGGAGGGATATTGAAATTTGGTGTTCTGCTGCTAGTATGGCACTACTAAATGAAGAAAAGACAGTCAGAATTAGAAAAAAACCCAATTAACCAACGAACCAAAACCTCAAGCAAACAAACAAACCCCTCTTCTGGAATTCTTCTTTAGGTTAGTTACAGCAGAAGAGGCTTGAATTTGTTTACTGTTTTGTGACCTGACAGTTCAGTATAAACAAGAACTGTAGCCAGCATAATACATTTTTTAAGATTCAAAATCATACTCACTTCATACTCATATATATCATATAATCATATAATCATACAATCATACTCAGCTCAGCTGTTCACTCCTCCCAGGAAGACCTTAGGACTATCCAAAATCTAAGGAGACTTCGCGTTATATACATGCATTCTTCTGCACCTCTGCAACAGGAAGCAGTTTCTACAGTGTAGGTAGAAGCTGTGAATGGTTCTGCCTGGTGAATGACAGTAACTGATCAGAAGAGTGCAGTGGGGGTTGCTTCATATTGAAAGAGGGGATAAGCAGAGATCCCCATGTTTCTGAATATACCCCGTTTCCGAAGTGATACAGATTAGGTAGGGAGAAGACAAATTTTATCTAAATCATAATTGTTGTCTTTGTCTCAAAAAACCCACCCATCCAACTAACAAACCAAAAAACACCCCCAAAAAGCCATAGATTTGATACTGACCACGCAACCACCTAGGGACAATATCAGAAAAAATATTTGAAATGTCAGGATAATAAGCTCCTCTTTTATGCTTTTATTATGGCCTTAGAGAGCAAAACACTTTTTGGTTTTATGATAGAATGTAATTGTAATTCCATCATTATTAAACAGACTGAGGGAAGCTGCTTCTTCCCAGTTTGGTTTCACAATAGAGAATCTACTTATTGTATGTTCTAAAATGGTACAGTTTAAAAAAGTACACAGAAATTATATTTGCATTTCATACATAAAATTGCATAAGAAAATAAATAATAAACTTTTTTTTTTCTGGGAAGAAAAAAGGAAACATTCTTTAGGTGTTAGTCTAGCAGTTATTCCAGCTCAGGATGTTCTTACAATTGTGACATTTTGAACATCCTATGTCAAGGATTGCTCCTTGCTTTAATAAATAATAATTCATAATCTCCTTTTTTTTTAAGTATAGATTTAGATCTCTAAAAAAAAAAAAAAGAAAATAAAAACAGGTAAAGATCCAAATGCATGTTCTTCTGTCAACAGCAGGATTTTTTTTTTTTTACTAATTAGGGAGCAGAAATTTAGGTCTACAGTTGTAGTAAAGAACTTTTGGTAAAAACTTAAAAAATTACCCCACTGCAGTAACTGGAAAGGTGCAAAACTAGCAGAAGTCGTAAAATAATATAAGTTTAGCATTATAAAAAAGGATTCTATTCCATCTTCTGGTTAATATGTGCTTAAAGACACAAAGCTACTTATGTAAAAATTGAAGATTTGAGAAATGGGAGGGAGAAATGGAAATAAAGAAACCAATATATTAGATATTGTGGAAAATTTCCTAAAACCGGTAAGAGATCCGAAATCATTAAAAATTCTGTAGAAAAGTTTACAGCACTTTGAACACAAATAAACCAAAAGTATCAAGATCAACAGCATGAAAATAATGATAATTTAAAGTAATTCAAACCAACCTCAGCTCGTGCAATAAAATAAAATACACACACATATAAAAATGGTTTATACAAATCAAAGGAGAGAGAAAAAAGCTTTTCAATTGTACGAACATGTATCTCGTCTGAATTTTTTTTTGGGGGGGAGGTGTGGTGTTTTGTTTATATTGTAGACTTTGCAGCTCTCTAACACGTTGCAGCAAACGATGTGTCGTCATCCGTCACGGAGACAGGAAAAAGGGATGGGAACCCCGCCCCCGCGCTATGCAGTCCTCAACCAGGTCGGACCGACGGCAATATACAGGCGCTGGGGCCCAGTCTCACCGCACAGCGCCTGGAGCTGAGCGAGGGACACCATGTCCGGCAGAGGCAAAGGCGGGAAGGGGCTCGGCAAGGGCGGCGCCAAGCGCCACCGCAAGGTGCTGCGCGACAACATCCAGGGCATCACCAAGCCGGCCATCCGCCGCCTGGCTCGGCGCGGCGGCGTCAAGCGCATCTCGGGGCTCATCTACGAGGAGACGCGCGGC